GGGCTGTGGGCGGGGAGCTGTTCCCCTGCCCCCGCCCCGCCCGGCTGCAGCTCTTCCCCTTCCTCCTGGGATTGGCCACCGAGAGAAAAAAAGGGCCTTATTTGGGCAAAAAAGCCGTGAGCCGTGGCGGCTGCTCCTCCTCCTGCCCCAGAGGTGTGGATGGGCTGATGGCTCGGGCGTGGTTCCTCCACCCGCCGCTCCCTCCCGCTGCCCCGGAGACAATTCCACCCTGGCCCCGCGGCCGAGCCCTGGGGCTGGCAGAGGGGCTGGTCCCCCCAGGCAGGGCAGCTGGTTTTGTGCCCCCCAGGAGCCAGGGAGGTGATGGGTGGGCAGCCAAGGGTTGGCCCTTGGGGCTGGAGATCTCCTCAGGCTCAGGTGGATGGCGTGGACGGCACACATCGCTGACTGCCTGGTGGTTAAGCCTCTCTCCTGCCTGCCCAGCTCCCTGCTCCCTGTCCTGGGCTGCAGCACTGGGGTAGGACACCTAAATTGCAACCCCCTCAACTTGATCCCATCTTAGGCTGCAGGCAAAAACAAACAGGAGAAAGTGAGGCACAGTTTTGTCCAAGATCATGCAGGGGAAGGAAATTAAACTCGTCTTTGCCCAAAACTGAGGGAGTTCCTTTTCCTGATGACTGATTTCTTGGGGTGAGCTGCTTTGATCCCTGGAAATAGCTGTGCCAGGCAGGAGGCCTGGGAGATGACCCTGGGGCATCCATCTTTCATCTCCTCTCCTGTACCCTGTCTCTTGGAATTGCTGCAGATGTGAGCTGGAACTGGGGGGAGATGTTGTGGGTGAAGTGGGACTTAGCAGATTAAACTGGGTGGGAAATTGGGGTGGGCTTAGTGGTATTTTTGGGAGAGTGCAGTTGCACTCAGCAGGACTAGGTGCAGTGAAAGTCTCTAGAGCTCTAGGCCATCCTTTCTGCACCCCGGGAACACGTTTCCAGCTCACTTCCCACGCATTTGACAACATGGAACATGTGGAGGGATTTTTCCCCCCTCTGGTACAGAGCATGAAGTCTGCTTGTGCCAGCATTCCCCAGTCGAAATTTCCCTGTCTCTGGGAGCACTGGGAGACAGGCTGAGAGACCAGGTCCTTCGCCTGCTTTAATGGGAGCCTGGGGGTGCTCTCTGCATCCCTGCTCCTGGGGGGAAAGGAGAGGTAGGAGAAGCACCAGAGCTGCTGCATGGCTGCTCCATGGGGAGCAGGTGGGCTGAGAGCTGAGTTTCCAAAGGAGAACATGGCTCGTCTCTCTGTAGTTGTTTTTAGTGATTTCTTGCAGAATTTAGCTCTAAAAAGACAAAGGAGTGGTGTGTCCCTGTGGGCTAGAAAGGGTTTGTGGCCTTTCTCGAGCGGGGCTGGCAGCACAGCCCCCAGCCAGAGCTTTCTGTGTTAGCCCCCAGCTCTGGACACCACGGGGGGAAGGTGACGGGCTCACCCCCGGGCGGGTGGGATCTGATCCAGGGAGGTGTTTCTCACTCCTGGTAGCTCTGTTGGGAGCTCACTTGCCTCCCCCAAGCAGATCCCCAGAGCGATTTGGAAGCGTGTGGGCTACCAAGGAATGAGACTCAGTGTGCGTGTGGGGGAGCGAATCTGGGCCACCCAGGTTCCACCAGGACCTGAGCTCTTGGTGGGTGAGGAACATGCTTTGGCTTTGGGCAAACCTCTGTCTCTACCCTTGTAGCCCCTCTTCGACCCTCCTGAAGCATCCAGGGAAGGTCTTGACCGTGCTCCCGTGTCCTCTTTCTCGGGGCCCGGCGCTGTTTGCCCGTCCTGCCGGGGCTGCTGGAGGGGAGCAGGGGATTGATTGCTGGGATGTGGCAGCTCACGGGATCCAGGGCTCGTGGCCGCCTCCACGGAGGCGCTTGCGAGGGAGTCACCTGCCCAGGAGAGGGAGCCTGGAGCTCACACTTGGGTGCTGCTCACGCTTGGGTGCTCCCCAGCCCGGGAGGCGGCGGCGCAGCTCTGAGGTGCCCTCAGGTGTGGTGCTGGGCTCCGACTCTCCCGCTGGGAGGGCAGTGGAGGATCCTGGCTGCTTCCCTCTGCTCCGGCTTGGCTGCTGTGCAGGCTGAGCACTTCCCTGGGGATCTTCCCTGCCAGAGTCTGCCCCACCAAAATCAGCTCTGCCCCTGCTTTCAGCACACGCGTTTATCTGTCCCTGGGCTTGGCCCTCGGGCTTTGTCTCACAGCTGGGCCCTGTCCTGGACATCTGATGTCTCCTTTCCCCACGCTTGGGCAGTTGCTCCAATCTTTGGCTCCAGGCAGGGTTTGAGATCATCCTTGGGAAGCCTCTTGCAGCTGAAACTGGTGTGGCTTTACCTGGAGATGGCTGCGCTTTGGATTGCAGCAATGCAGCTCCCCAGATAACAGGGATGGACCTGCCCTTGTCCCACCAGTCCCTTGGCAGCAGCTGAATCTGTTGGCCGCTGTGCTGATGACTCTGCTGGCTCAGCATCCCTGCTCCTGTAGGGCTGTCCCTCAGAGGGGACCAGAGCTGATGGTACTGCTGGGCATTTCTCAAGGGGACAAGGGGTGTGGTGCCCTTCAGTGGGCAAAAGAAAAGGGCAGTCATCTGCTGGGCCTCACACACCTTTGGTACACAAACCCAGTGGCTGGAAGGGCTTTTGTGAAGGGTTTTGCTGGGTCCTGCCTCCAGGAGAAGCTCTGCACTGAATGCCACCTCCTGAGCTGGGAGCAGCTTGTACGACTGGGAGGTCCCCCTCAGCTCCCCCCGTTCCCATCCCTGCCAGCTTGAGAAGCCAGGTTTGGGAGCTGGGAGCTGGCCTGGCCATCCTCCCCTCTCTGCCCTCATCCCCTGATCTGACCCTGGAGGTGCAGTGCTCCTCAGGTGGGCAGGTGCTCCCCAGCTCTGGTCCTCTTGCCTGTTTTGGGTTTCCCAAGTAGGTCTGTTTTGGGGAAGGAGCTCCAAGAAAGCCCCTGAGCTCTGGAAGGCCACCTCTGAACCAAGGGGCTGGGTGGGAGTGTGGTTCCCCAGGATGGATCTGGGCCCTGGGGACACAGAAGTTCCCCTCTGCAGCAGCACAGGGGGAATCCAGCCGGGGAGGTTTGTGGGGCTGAGGACAGAGGTGGGAGCGTGGTGGCCCGTGCAGTAACACCTCAGCTCCTGACACGTGCTGGAGCTGCTCTGTGACCCGGGGAGCCCGGCAGCAGAGCAGTGCTGAGCTCCCAGAGCCCTGGCTGCTGGATCCACGGCCGACCCTCCAGCCTTGTGTGCATCTCCTGGGGATGTGGACCAAACAAACGACCTGGGAAACAACTTCAGCCTCCTCTGGCTGCCAGAGTTTAGCCAGAGACCTCAGCTGGGGAAGGAACTGCTGGCTCAGGTGGGCTGTGGTAAGAAGACCAGTACAGCATTTCTGTGTGGGACGTGGTACTTTATTGTAACAGCCATGCCCTGGAGAGCAGCGTGCTGGTGCCATGGCCCTGCAGTGCTGGCCTGTCCTGCAGGAACGGGGAGTACTGCGGAGCACTAACGGAAACGTCGTGGGAGGCTGTTGAGAGCCCCTCCTGGGAACTCAGAATCTGGGAACTCGAGTGGGGCTGTGTGGCAGTGACCAAGGCCAGATCTAGGACAAGATGGGAACGGCCTCAAGATGCACTAGGGGAGGTTTAGGTTGGATTCTAGGAACAAAGTCTTCCCTGAAGGGGTTGTCCAGGACTATCCCAGGGCAGTGGTGGAGTCCCCATCCCTGGAGGGGTTTCCAGGCCGTGGAGATGTGGTGTGAGGGACACGGGTTAGCAGTGGCCTTGGTAGAGTTGGGTTAATGTTTGGACTTGATGGTCTTAAAGGTCTTTTCCAACCTAAATCTTTGTATGATTCTGTGAATACCACAGGGCCCTGCCTGTGTTGCTTTGTGCAAGAGGGCCACGGAAATGTCTGTGGTGAGGCCAGAACATCTCCTCTGCCTCGCTTGAGGGGGGGACGTGGCACCTGCAGAGGTGGCTTGGTAGCTTGGGTGCCAGGTAAGGTAAAAGCTGCTGTGTGAGGTCAATAAATACAAAGACAGGTCCTGCTTGTCGTGGTTACGTGGGGACCGTTCCTAGGACCTGGCACCACTGTGCCTGGAGCACCTTTAGGCAGGACAGGTAGAGAGGGCTCAGGAAAAGAGAAGTTTTGGAGGAGTTCTGGGTTCGGTGGCGTGGGAAGGAATGAGGGGCCACCCAAAAGGCAGTAAAATGAGTTGAGTGGCTGAGGTGGCCGAGGATCCCCCAGTCCCACCAGCGTGTCTGTCACCAGGTGTGGAAACCCACCCGGCTCGGGTTGTTCATCCCCATCTCCCCACCAGCTCGATGCTGCCCTGCCCAGAGAGCCACACCAGCCAACCCCTCCCGGGCACACGGGCAGGGACAGGGCAGGGGGTGAGTTAGTAACACTGGTGAAATGGCCTCTGGCTGCTGCGTCAGAAGCTTGTGTCAGTGTAGGAGTTTCTCCTCCAGGTTTCCTGTCGGTAGAGCTCAAAGGTTCTGAGTGGAACTCCTCTGGGACCTCGAGAGGGAGGTGTTGGTGGGGGTGTGGGGATGGGAGAGTCTCTAAAGTCCTGTGCTGGATCCCACGTATAACTGGTAACAGACGTTAGCTGGGGGTCAGAAGGACAAACTGAAGAGACAGCCTGGAGTGGATTCTCCTGCTTTGCCCCTCAGACATTGGCTTGAGTTCAGAAGAAAGTGCTTTGGCCTCGCTCGGCTGCAGATGCCAGCAGGTCTGGTGCTGTGGGGCTCCAGCCCTAGGAGTGTCCCCCGGCGGGTGGGGAGCTGAGCTTGGGCTGGGCACCGCCACTGGAGGCATCACCTCCGGGCACTGAGGAGCTGTCCCTGGGGCTTCTCTGGGGTGGCACCTTTGCGATGCCCCCGTTCGGCTTCGTCTCGCCGTTGGTGCTGCCTGTTCTTGCAAACAGCCTGGAGTTCCTCAGGGTGCTGGCAGAAACTGCAGGGGTGGGGAATGGGGGGTTAGAAACGGTTCATTCACGTTCTGCTTCAGTGCAATGCAGGAACAAAACCACTTACGGTGCTTGGGTCTGGAGTGGACGGTGCTGATCACGGTGGGTATGGGTTGCTCCATGCTGTGGGGGAGAGGGCACGTGTTAACCTCTGCAGTGCCAGAGACAGGCCTGGAGCTCGGCCCGTGTGAGCTGGGCTGCACGGGAAGAGCCCAGTGCACAGCTGGATCAGGAGGGGTGACTCAACATCTGGGCAAAGCATCTTCTAGAGAAGTGCTGGAACCCTCCAGTGTGGGGAGCCTGAGGAAAACTCCAGAGCAAGAAAAAGGGCTGGACTCTGTGGGGGCTGCTGGGATCTGGTCTTTCTTTGACCAAACCTTCAATATCAGGCTCAAAGCCTGGGACCTTTGCTTTCTCCCTGGGTGTTTGGGTGCGTGCCTTCCTCTCCTCAGTCACAAGGGAGCCCAGCTTACCTGCTCTCTTCCCCTTCCATCAGCTTCCTGTAAGTGAGGATCTCCACATCCAGTGCCAGCTTGATGTTCATCAGCTCCTGATACTCTTTCACCAGATGAGCCATGTCCTCCTTGCTCTTCTGTAGGGCTTCTTCTAGCTTGACCAGTTTGGCTTTGGCATCCCTGAGGGCAGTCTCGCCGTGCTCTCCGGCCTCTTTGATATGCTCCTCCAAGTACAGGCACTGGTGATGCAAAGGGGAAGGGGGGTGGAGGTGTTAGGAGTGCTGTAGTTTCTGACCTGTGTGCCAGAGTTGTCACCCACCCCAGGACACACCTGGCTCTTCTGGGACACGATGCAGGACCTCAGCTTCTGGATCTGTATGTTCAGGTCTGCGATCTCCCGTCGGCTGTCGAGGAGGTGGCTCCCGTAGGTGCCCGACTGGGTGTTCCCTTCAGTGAGCTGTGGGAGAGACAGAGGGTGGGTTACCCACTGCTGTGGTGAAGGAACCTGTGAGGATTCCCACTGCCCTTGAGAAGAAACTCCTAGCTGGGGAGGAACAGGGGGTGTGGAGGGATGTAGGGCTTGTTCTCATGTCCTCTTCTGGCTGTAGCTGTGCTGGGTGTAGAGCACCCCAGCCCTTGGGGTTAATCACATTCTTGCTCTCTTTGGAGGAGGCACCTGTGGAAGGGCATTTGCATCTTAGGTGGGACAGCTGCCACTGGGAGATGTCCTTTCCTTTCTCCACTGACAGTATGGAGAGCCTAGAGCAATGCAGCTACCCGTTCACACGCTGGAGGTAGGAGTTGGTCGGGGTTAGCACCCTGTCCCTCCCTCCATTCCCAGGTGTAGTCTGTCCCTCCACATCTTGCTGATTCCTGTAGTTCCTAGGCTGGTCTCTCTCCCTCTTCTTTCCATGCCTCTCCCCAGTATCGATCAGATAAGGACACAAATACCTTTCTCCTGGTAAGTGCCTCAGCCTCCTCCCAGCTCCGAAAAGCCAGGGCTTCGTACTGGGCCCTCACTTCTTCCACAATTCTGCTCAGGTCCAGTTTGCACGCGTTGTCAATTCCCAGTACGACAGAAATGTCCTTAATTTCTGTCAGCAGCTCCTCAAGTTCCTGAGTAGCAAAGAGAGAACAGGACTGAGATGACAAAGAGTCAACAAAGCTACAAGCTACGAGAGCTGAACCCTGGCAGATGTGCTGTGCTTGGCTGTGCGACGTGGGGATGGGGGAGATCTCCTGGATTTTGAGTCTCTGAAGTTTGGAAGCTGGTATTTTCTCCATAAGATCCAGCCTCAAGCTAAGGTTTTGGTTTGGGACTTTTGGATGCCATCTGTTGAGTCTGACAAAATAGTGCATTTGTGCTGTATGGAGAGCTGGTTAACTGAGCTGATGATCACACTTCAGTATCTATCAACATTTCCTCTTGAGGGTTTTGTTCTTCCCTTTTGTGCTGAGGGCTCTAATCTCTTCAGAGGAATATTTGTTACCTTGTTTGCCCTGGACTCCCCTGACTGGGAAACAAAGAGTGCCCTGACCTGGTGATTCATGAGTAACAGAAACATCCCACCACTCCTCCAAACAACAGGGTTACCAGGGCTGCTTTCCCCACCAGTGTTTACTCCTTGAGCCTCTCTGTTAGCCCTGGTCAGTAGCCCTGTGAGAAAATGCACGTTTGTAGCAAATGCTTGAGCATCTCTGCCAGGGTTAAGAAAGCTGCTTTATTAAGGAAGGCTGAGGCTGGGATTTCCTTCTGATTCATAGCAGCACGCTGTGAGCAAAGCTGTCAAGCAAATTTTTCCTCATTTGCCCTTTGCCCGCCTGGGTATGTGTGTGCTGATGTCAGAACAACAGGTACAGGTGAGAAAATGCCTAACCTGAAACCCAGCTCTGGAGAGGAGAGGGCACAGAGGGGTGGGGGGGTCATTGCTTTGCATGAAGCATAGCTGTAAAACTAAAGCAGCCTTCTGCTGGGACAGCAGTGAGGAACCTGGAGGAAACTGGCTCAAGGTGATCCTCACAGCAGGATCTGTGGGCCTGTTGGAGCAGGTCCAGAGGAGGCCATGAAGATGATCTGAGGGCTGGAACCCCTCTGCTGTGAGGCCACTCTCAGAGAGCTGGGGTTGTTCAGCCTGAAGAAAAGGCTCCAGGGAGACCTTGTGGCCTTCCAGTATCTGAAGGGAGCCTACAAGGGAGCTGGGGAGGGACTTCTGACAAGGGCTTGTAGTGATAGGACAAGGGGTGATGGCTTCCAACTGGAAGAGGGGAGATTTAGATTAGGAATGAGGAAGAAGTCCTTCACTCTGAGGGTGGTGAGACCCTGGCCCAGGCTGCTTGGGGAAGCTGTGGATGCTCCATCCCTGGGTGTGCATGGGACCAGGCTGGATGGGGCTTGGAGCAGCCTGGTCTGGTGGGAGGTGTCCCTGCCCATGGCAAGGGAGGTGGAACCAGAGGATCTTTAAGGTTCCTTCCACCCCAAACCATTCTGGGATTCTATCTGATTTCCAGCTGCAGGATTCCTGTGAGTTGCCTTGCACCAGGGGTAATCTCACAGTTGCAGGGAACGTGGAGCTTCGTGGTGTGGTGCAGTCGGGGCTCGTGCTCTCGTGCAGGTCCTTCTGCCACCCCCTGCCTCAGCTTTCCCACGAGGAATTCGGGCATTCCTCTGGCAAGCATTTTACTTGTTTATACCGGTGGAATTTAGACAAATCATTAATATTCCCAGCACTGCCCAGCCTGCTTGGTAACATTTTACAGGCTCTGAGTAAGTGGCTGTGATCACTTCACCCTGTTTGAGCAGATACAGGCACGGAGCAGCCTTTGGGTCTGTCCGAAGGGCTGTGGGCTGTGTCCTTCCCCCCTTGGTGAAACCATCCCTGCCTGGGCACCTCTCATTGAAGTGGGAACAGAGCAGGTTGGGTTGGGTTAAAGAGCATCCAGCACCTCAGCCAGGTTCCCCACGGCTCGTCCTGGTTTGTTGTGAGCCCTTCCTCTGAACCTGAAAATAATGCTCAGCCTGCTGGAGGCCTGGGGCACTTGGTCTCCAGGCAAATGCCATGTGTGGGGGTTAGGAGCTGAGCCCCAGACCTGCCAGCTTGGGATTTTGATGGGAGTTCCTGGCTTGTACTGGGGAGAGCTGTGGGAGCAGCTTCCCTCCAGCAGCTGTGGGGCAGGAGGAACATCCTGATCACATTTAAATGGAGCTGGTTTAGTTTGGGACCTGCCTTAAGCCAGCTGAAGTTGTCTGCAGCACCATGCAGCTCCCCTGGCCAAGCTCTCATTCTGGTGGAGATCTGGAACACTGCCCCTGCTAGAGTGGAAGGATCCATAAAAATGCCTTTTTGTGCAGTAGCTGTGGTGTTCCCAGGCCACTGCCCCAGCTGCATTTTTACCTGCTCATAGATGTTTTTTTTCAGCTCCATCAGCTCTCGGAGCCCGCTGAGTTTGACCTCCAGCTCAGTTCTGTGCAAGGTGCTTACGTCTAAATCCTACAGGAGGTGGAAAGTGGAGAAGGAAAGTGGATTAATCAACGGTTTGTCCTTGAGTTTGTAGCAAGAAGCCTTTCCCATTGCCCCCCTCCCCAGCAAGTACCCTGCTTGTGGCTTATTGGCAGGTCCTCAGTGACACTGCTCTACAAGTAGGGAGGCTCCTTTGGGGACCTTTTTCCTCTGCAGGTTTGGTTTTGTTTTTTCTTTTTTGAGTGAGCACCTTGGTGGAAGTCTCCAAAGCAGCAGGGTGGAGAAGGAAACAGGCAGGGCTGGTCCATACCCACTCATCTTTTGTTCACCACAGAACACAGGGGTTATTGAAAACTCTGATGCCGACCACAGAAGTCACCGGAACTGCCCTGGCTGCCCGATGAGTGTCAGGGAAAACATGCAATTAGCCGTAGTGCTCGTTTGTGGAGAAGGTTTCCTCTGCCTGATGAACCCCTGCGTGCCTGCAGCTTTGCAGTGCAGAATGCCAAACCTGCCCTCTCAGGGGTGCTCGGGTGCAGCCGCCTCTGGGGCGGGATGTTTAAACAGGACACAAAGCAAACACAGTTACCAGCTCCCTGCCCGTCCCCGCCTCTGATGTCATCCCCAGAGGAGCTGTGCAGGGAGGAGAGGTCCTGGGAGAGGAGCTCTCCTGGCCAGGGCTGTGGTTGGGGCAGGCATGGTCTGACCCCCAGGCGCTTCCCCCCGGGGCCGTGGGGCTTCTCTGCAACCACCAGTGGCCCAGCCTCACTTGCACTTGTCCCGTGGCAACGGTGACTGTTCACCCCTCTGCTGTCCTCCTCCAGACCTTGGCACCCCACCAAGCAGCTGGAGTACCAGGACTCTCAGCTGAGCCTGGACCATCTTGCCTCTCCAGGCTCTTTTGTGACTACAGAACTGGTGCAGAGCCCACCTAGACGAGCAGCTTCCCACACCACTGACCTTTTTGAGCTCCATGAAGGTGAACTCCATGCCACTGCAGAGGCGAATTTCGTCCTCGTATCTACGGAGAGCAAAATAAAGCAGTAAGGAGCTGCACACAGTGAAAGCCTCTGGGGTGCCTAAGATTGCCTTGCCACAAAAGGTGTTGCTGTCAAAGCTTTCTACTTCTGCTGTGATGTCTCACCTCCTTGATGCACACTGGACAGCAAGGAGAGAGACCTCACAGGTGTAGGCATCTGAGAGGATACCAAGCTGCCACATGCCAGCTGCTCTGCAGTAGCACCCTGAGCACTTTGAGTCTGAAGAGCCCCAGAGCAGAGAGGAGGCAGCTTTAATTCTAGTTTAATCTGAGGGCTCAGCAACCTCGGGTTACCTCACCACAGAAAGAGAGAGCAGGGATGGAAAATTTGGGTTGGTGAGTTGTTCTCTGTGAAACCCAGTCACATGCCTGAAGATTCCTAAATTTTCACCCTGAGCCTTCCTCTTTCCTTCAGGTTTCCTCAGCGTTTAGTTTCCAGAGTCTGAGAGCCTGCTCAAGGAGAGAACTGGCTTGTGAAAACTCTGGGAGTGCTGGGCTGGTGTCATAACTCATCCTAAACGTAGCACAGTTTGTGAAGTGACACAGGACCTGGCAAAGAAACCTGTGGAGAACAGTGCCCAGGGAGCAGAAGGTGACAAAAGCCAGATGGCACAGGGTGGAGTCGTGGGGGCTAAATGTCCAGCAGAGGAACCAGCCCTGCTGGTGTTTACAGAGGGGCTTGGTAAGGCAGGACCAGGAGAGCAGAGACAACAGGGGCACGTGGCCAGCATCAGACCCGAGAGGGTGGCACAGGGAGCACCCCAACCCTCCTTGGCCCTTGAGGTGAGGATGTGGCCAACTCTGATGCTGCAAAGAGCAGGGATCTGACCAGGCCACAGGGTCTCTTTGGTGTGTGACCAGTGGCAGGAGCATTATGGGATGGGTGCTGGGTATCTCCCACTGTGCTGCTGGCCACACCTTGGCAGTGTTGGCCCTTCTGCTGGGACTGGAGCAGGCTGTGCTCCCTGGGAGGCTGTGGCTTCCCCTCTCTCCCACCACACCTCAGGCCCCCTCATGTGCACGTAGCGTTTCCAGGCTGTGAGTAAAACCTTTCAGTGCTGCTTAGAGGTGTCACCAAATGGATGTGGGGAAGGCTGAGAGGTAAATGGCCCCTCTAACAGAGTGATGATGCGAGAATGAGGAATGACAGCCCTGTGCTGCTGTTTGGTGCATCACCACTCCAGTTACTCTCGAGAGCCTTCCCTGCTGTTGTCCAAACCTTTAGGAGAAAGAAGCTGTGCCCAGGAGCAGGAGGAGGTGTTGAGAAGGCAGCGCAGATCTCACTGGAGGGCAGGGGGGTAGGTCACGCTCAGGAGCTGACCTGAACTATCAAACCCAGCTCCCTGGAGCTGCTGCTTCCTCAGCAGAGGGGTTAGGGAGGGGATCTGACAGAGGCACTTCTGCAGTTCTTCCTGAGTGCCCCAGTGGAGTTAAACTCGCCCTCTCCTTGCCTGCTTTTACAAGGCCAGGTGGTGTGGCCAACAAGACCTACCTGTCTGGTTTCTCTGCTCTTTGCCTGGAATGTTAGCCATGCTGCCAGCAACTATGTGCTTAATTACAGCCTGCCACTCTTCCTTCATCCTCGCTGCCTCTCGGCCGGGCCCAGGCTGCCCCAGCCTGCCGAAGCAGCTTCACCCCTCGCCGGGCGCTGACACAATCTGGTGCAGGGAACAAACACTCCTGGCTGGAGGGGAGCAGCCCAGCCAGCCAGACCCGCTCACCGCACGGCTCCGGAGGGACCCGGCGGCCGGGACGTGACTCACAGGGGGATGGAGCATTCCACAAACACATCACAGCGTTTATCTCCTTGGAGATAATCCTCCTGCAGCCGTGATCCATCCCAGATCCATCCCAGCTCGAGTCGTGCACTCAGGACACACTTGAAACAGGCGTCTGGTTGCCTTGGGCTCCTTCCATAGGCAGGGAACCAAGCCTCAGGTAGGCTACATTCCTCTCTGGATGTGCCTTCAAGACTACTTTAGAGTGAAGAGCTAGTGGTGGGATGGATCTGAGCCTGATGGCATGAAATTAAGTCAGTCTTGCTCTTGTGGAGCAAGAAAATGGGGCAGGAAGTAGCTGAAAAGCTGCTGTAGAGGTTGAAGGTGAAGGAGTGTTGAGTGTCTAGTCTTCAGGAGGCAAGATCTGACTGGATCTCAGAAATGGATCCCTGAGGGCTATATGCTCCATATTTTCCTGCAGCATCTCCCCAGTTCCACACCAGAGTAGGTCAGCACAGACAAAACTTCCCTCCCTTCTCACTGCAGTGGCTCTTTGCACGTGCACATCACACATGTGGGGAGCTGAAGCAAACACCAGTGCAGATGTGCACCTCTGGGCAGTCACCCTTGTTTGGTTATGTTTTGGTATTTGATTTTTAGCTTGACTTCCTACAGAAGCAGGGTTTGAGACCTGTGCCAGCCTCCAGCCTGCTTCCCTGTCCCCTCTCCGTTCTCTGCGGCTGGAATTACCCATCAGTGGCCACCTAATCTGGGGAGGAGGAGCAAGTGTCCCAGCTAGTTAGATCCCTGTATGATCTTTGGAAAGCAGTCCCTGGCTGGAGAAGATGGACTGACTGGGGCCTTGCAGGCAGAGGTCACATCCTCAGTGCTCTGCCTGCTCGGGTGGTCACCGTGCGCGGGGCCCGTTTCGTCTGGAGCACACAGCCTGGGTGAGAACACAGCCAGTTAAGTTTGCCAGGGAGGTGATTAGGGGGAGGAAAAGCTAAAAGTTTCCCTTGGGAAAAGAAGCCTCTAGAGGAGTGGGAAGCCTCCAAAATTTGCATGGTTTGGGCAGACCATTTGCTCCAGAAAAACAACTGGGCTGAGGCAGCCTCTGGGAGGTGGCGTGAGGGACTGGCCAGAGCCCGTGTGGGCTGGGCTGGGGCTGGCAGCAGCTCTCTGCCCGTGAATCACCCGCTGCTGGGAGCAGCACAGGGGATTGTCACTGTCACAGAAACCTCCTGCCCTGGCTCTGGGTGCTAACGGCACGCAGTGGCAGGGTGGGCTCTGCCCCTGGCAGGGCTGGTGCCTCGCAGTGCCCTCGTGGGAGGAAGGGGAAGGCTCCACAGATGGAGGAGAGGTGCTCGGAGGAGCAGTGTCACTTCTGCCTTCCCCTGGCTGTGGAGTCCCACAGGGTGAGAGTTCTCCAGAATGAGAGTTGGGATAGTCCTGAGCTGGTGCCCACTGTGCATTCTCAGCTGTCTGATACTGTGCATGTGCTGCATCCTTATCTTGTTGGGTGTGGGGCGGATCCTGTTGCTCTAGTCAGTCTCTGTTCTTTTTTTTTAATTTTGAGGGATGTAGCATCCCTGTTGTGTCTTATGCCAGCATCCAACTAGGTAGTAACTGCCCAAGAAAATCAGAAGGTAGGTGAAAATACACAGACAGCCTGTTGGTGTAAGCACCTTTATCCTTAAGAAATGAGGCTTCAAAATAAATGAAATGCCAGGCGTAGGCAGTTACCAGTTGCAGATATGAGTACAGACTGTTAGGGCAGATGCAGGTGACTGACCTGACATTTCTCCATCAGCCCAACCATTTTCCTATCTGGATTTTCCTGATTGTCACAGAATAAACCAGGAAGTAATGGCAGGACCACAGAGCAGCTACTTCCTCAGGGAAGTGCGAGGAAGACCCAGTGCTCCAGAGAGGGATGATAGGTCTTAATCTTTTTAGGGCAGGGAGTAAATGGCACAATCCATATTGTGGCTTTGATCTAAGCTCAGGGTTGTCACCTGTCAGCAGAACAAGCATCACTGAGCCCGAGTCTTGCAGTGCAACCAACAGCTAAAGAGCAGACAGACACGCACCCAGCACAAGGATTTGGGGTATTTCCAGGCATCTGGGTATCAGTGCATCACTTCTTGAAGGATGCTGAGCATAATGATTTCAAACTCCTAGCTCCTGTTCTTGCTTTGGCACCAGCTTGCTCTGTGAGCCTGAGCATGACATTAACTGCTGTGTCTCTGTTGCTGTGTCTGTGGGTCCTTCCCCTGATTTGCAGACATGCTGAGCAGCTGATTTATCAAAGTCTGCAAAGAGTTGTAAGATCCTTGGGCTGAGCTCTGGGAAGGGCACTGTTATTACTTGTGCATCACTTTGCACATCAGGAAGAGGTCTGGGCCCTCACTGCAGTGATGTCTGTCAGGGCCAGCATCCCTGAGCATCACTCTTCCTTCTGCCCGTGCCCGTATGTGGCTGTGCTGCAGATCAGCGTGGAAGGCTCCAGAGATCTTGTGTGGGCAGATGGGTGTAACTGGAAGGGAAAGTATCTAATTGTGGATTCATCTGTGGTATGCAAATGACACCGATAATAAGACAAGTATTGTCTTCTTGAATGAGCCATGGCACATCTCAGGGCTCTTATCTGAAGATCTCGGAGCTCTTGGCAAAAGCAGCGATAAGCACGTGGCTGCTGGCCCTCCCTTAAACTCCCAGCTGCCTCAGTATTTGCTGTCAAGAGGGTTTCTAGGTAAAAGTCTGGCTTTTTGGTCCAAGCAGAATTTTGCATTAAATGTTGCAGGGAGAAGGGATAAATGTCCCTGGTATTTTGGTGATACCCCTGGTATCATCAGTAGTGAGCAGCCTAGATCCAGTTTGGGGAGGAGGTTCTGCTTTGTGATAATAGTGCAGAGAATAAACATTCTCCATTTCAGTGGCTGTCGTTCCCCATCCTGCTGCTCCCCAGAGCTGTCCTCTGGCCTGAGGCGTTTCTTGGGTGCCCTGCACTCCTTGGGTATTTTGCTTTTTATGGGTTTCCCTTCGTCTCATTCATCAGGAGACCAGGATGCTAACTTCCCAAATACAGTGCTGTGCACACCCAGCTAGGAATCTGTCCCTGGGAATAACAGGCAGCCTGTGTCAGATCAGCCCCACGCCACTCTGTGCCCACCTCTGAAACACGTTCCCCCGTGTGACATCCCCTGGGCTGGACACCTACTTGCTTCGGAAGTTATCCATGGTGTCCAGGACCCTCGTCAGCTCTGACTCGAGATTATCCTGCTCGTAGTTGAGCGCCTTCATCTCTTGATTCATCTTGCTCATGTACTGGTCGTAGATGGCCTTGATGTCTGACTCTGAGTGGGAATTGTCTTGATCCTTCAGGAAGTTCCACCTTGTCGTCAGGACCTTGTTCTGTTGCTCCAAGCACTGGACCTACAGAAGAGGTTTCAGGGATATTAGTGACACTGACAGGCAAGATCAAAGCTCCTGTCAGGGCACAGACATTGACCTGGAGAGCTAGTGAGAAGCTGCTGGAATCAGCAGAGATTTCCAGGCAAGAATGAGAATTCCCCTGAAAATTAGGCTGGAGGATGGAGGGTTATAGGGGCTTTTACAGGTTTTGTATGTTACCTACTAATTAATTTCTTGGTAGACTGTGTTCACATCAGAATGAATGAGCATCTTTTATTAAGTCACTGAAAAATAAGACTTGTTCACTGCTCATGCCCTTTGCCTGTGGACGCACTGAAGCAGAGGCTGAAAATCCCCCACAGGTCACACACAGACGTCCAGGGTGGAAGCGAGTCAGATTCACTGCCTTGGCGTGGCACGAAGCTAAATCCTCTCAAATCCGTAGGATTACACCACGCCGAAGCTTGAGGAATGAATCAGAGTCCTGGTTTATATTGCAGAGCAACGTAGACAAGGCCCGTGGGAGCTCTGGGGAGTAAGCAGAGTAATTACAGACTCCACAGGAGGTCTGTGTGTGAGCAGCCGTCTGCCCGGGACAGCAGAGGCGGCGTTGCCACCCGCCCGGCGGCCG